TCAAAGTTTGGGACTACGTTGGAATGTATGACCAGTCACACATTTTAACGTAATCCTGCCCAGTTTTACAGCGGTGGAATGTATGACCGCCCATCAGGTCAAGCATTCCAACACTTTGCTGTTCCAGGCCAGATCTGCTCACATGAATCGCTCTGCATTACCTATTCTGCCTGAAACTCCTGATTGGTCCTCAAATGTCAAATGTTCACAAAGTCAGATAGTAGTAACATTTTGAGTGACATTTGAGGACCGATCAGATGTTCCAGGCAGATGGGGTAATGTAGATGGGTTCTCCTGCACATGCGATGCCGATGTGTCCTGGAACAGCTGACAAAGCGTTGCAATGCTTGACCTAATGGGCGGTCACACATTCCACCGCCGAAAAACTAGGTGCAATTACGTAAAATGTGTGACCACGTGACTGGTCACACATTCCAACGTAGTCACAAACCTTGATAGAACACCAGTATCTGTGTTTAGTATTGGGGCATTTTCACAAGTATGGGTACTCATGAAAATGCCCAGTATCTGCAGAGATACCGGTATCGGTATTAGTGCCTCCCTACTTTTAAGCATTCAAGCCTGGGACACTGCAAATGAGAAAAGGCGTGAGGAGTTTTCATTTTGTAAACTGTAGGATGGTATTAAAGAAAATTAGCCAAAAGGAGGAACTTTATATTCCATGAAAAAAAGCCCCATAGTAAGCCCTGTCCTGCATGTCTGTAGAATAAATAATCATTATGGTCACTGAAGTAGCAGTCACTGTATAACTTTATTAGTTGTTGCTGCAGCTGGGAAACAAACAGTTAAACCCCTGTGCTGTCCATGAGGGTCACTATCTGCTGAACTGTGGTCTATAAATCTATCTGATAAGGATTTTAGCTGCACAGTGCACACTCCAGACAGTACAAAGATCTTTAATTTATGGCATTGCACCCGGGATCACAACCTCTCTCCCTTCCCCTCCCCCCTTCCCCTCAGAACTCCTGTGGCACCAGGAGAAGTGCTCTGACAGTTCACACTTCACAGACTATGTATTTACATGCCCTGCACCTCCACCTGGGAGCAGGAGCAAGTGTTAAAAAACGATCGTCCTCTAAGAGCAGAGGGAGAACTTACTGTGAGGAGCTTCACACACTGCATGACGGGCAGGCTCACAGCTACGGCCACATTGCGGGCTCAGCAACTTCAAAGTCAGCAGCAGGGGGGCGGGGCTGACAATACAGCTACATCCAGATCTCTACAGAAAGCCGCTGGAGCTGCTCGTATACTAGCACCAGCACTGGAGCCACTGCACTGCTGCTTAATTCAGCGGGGGGGGCAAAGCATAAAACAGTGGGGGCAATTGCCCCCCCTTGCCCCCCTGTAGTGACGCCTATGTATCTATGTATAGCTCAAAATCAAATCTCACTGTATTTTACAAGTAGACTTTTCTTAGCTATCTATCCTGAGAAAAGATGGGAGCTGCGCAAAAAGGGGGACCTTTATGTTGCCATATGAAGAGGACCAGGGCAAACTGTATTTTCACTATTCCCGGACATCTTATTTAAATAGTCATATGGTAGTTCCAAACTTATCTTTCATCTTCTTCTTAAAACAAAATGCATATTTTTCACTGGTGTGAATGTACAAACGTCCTACAGAGCATGTATTTTTATATGATTGATGCCTGAGGCCTAGCAGGCTGACTATTTGCGTCTGTCAATAGCAGGGTTTTCTTGGTATCATGTAGGGAGCACCATTCTGTGAGTTCTCATGTGCACTTAACTTCTCTTTCAGGAGCCTGGTGAGGAACCTCTGTCACTGGACTTCCCCGAGATCGATCTCTCCCAGTTGGACGCTGGTGATTTTGACACTAACAGCTGTTTTAATGAGTTGCAGTGGTGTACGGATCAGTCGGAAAACGAGTCCAGCCAGTACAGCACTGACGACTCCGAGCTTTTTCAGGTAACTATAGTCTTTGTATCTTACTGCATTTATTCCACATACTTTATATGAGCTAATAGGTAAAGTGCTTGTCTGGTGATGTCCGTGAAGATGCATCTCATCTATATCTAATGCAAAAGTAGAGATGTCTTAGCAATCAATGTAGTTCTAACTGTATTTCCCAAAGTTGCAAGATAGGAAATTACTAAAGCTTGCCATACACTGTTCGCTATTTCTCATTCAGCGCTGTGGACTGAACTAAAAATAACTCCTGATTCCCCTAACCATGATATTAGTATGGATGGGGGAATATCCACCCCCTTCACAATTGAAAAATCAACTTTTTTCAAACAGGTTGGTTTATGTCCTGCTTGATCAGTGTATGGACAGCTTTTCACCAGATTGGCTACATTAGACAACACCCCAATTGTACAGCAAAATAAAGCAGAATATAGATCTGGCTTTCAGGTGTTCAGTGGTCCACACTGCAGTCAACAGATAAAGAATAAAGTGATATTTTGGGTACAAGATTAGATAACTGCATTTATCATGAACAGCCTGCTTTTATGCTAAAGTCTTCAGTAAGCACTGCAAGCTAGCACCTGGCCATCCTTCCAGCAGACTGCAGTTAGACAGCTATGCCACATTATGAAGGTTTACAGTCTTCTGCCTAGGAGATCTGCAGTCTTGTAGTCTTCCACCTTGATCACTTTTTTATTAAAGCTTCTGTTAGAGCTAAAAGTAGCTTGGATTTGTCAGTTCTGAGGGAGGCGTATTTATTTGTTTACTTTCCAATTGATTTCTCTTCTTGTATCTGTATTATGCCGGTGTCTCTAAAAGTTTTTTTCTACCTAGAGACTGTGGAGCTCATTTGTCAGCTGAGATAAAGTTTCTCAAGGGATCTGCTGAACACAGAGGACAGGATGTTTGGGAGTTTGTGTTTAAACACCTCCGTTGTCTTAGACTGGAGCAAAGTCTTTGAGAGGACTAAAGGGATTTGGAAGCTAGGTTACCAGCAGGTTACAGCAAACATACGTTCCAGCACCTGATAAAAGCTCAGATGTTGGAATGATAGGAAGAAAGCTTTTGCACTTCATGGAATAATCAATCTGCTCCATCCCAAAGTCCCACTAAACCCAAAGTCAGCCCTAGTGCACTCATTTGTTAGGGCACTGGGAGACATAAATGTGAAGGAGCATGGTGGTAAAAATAAAATCCAACTGCCTGTCTCTGTTTACAGTGGTTATAAGTGACAGTTTTTCTTGATCTAATACCATGGTGACCGAGCGTTATCTGCAGCCCATAAAAAATAAATCCGCTGCTGCATTTTAGACTTGTTTCTACAAACCTTTTTGGAACTAAAGCTGATTTGGATAGGGTTTAGAATGGTTAAAACCCCTTTCAGGATTTTTGTTGTCACTGTTTTGAGTGTTTTTTTGGCCCACAAGGGAGATTTGTTTACATCACTAGAACCTCACTCAACCCCAGGAAGTGGAAAACTAATTGTAATTAAAAGCAAAAAAAAATGTTAATTGTAAGATGATTTCTTATCAGCGTGCAGAGCTGCTGTGTGATACAATGGGGTTGATTTACTAACCTTTTAAACACACCACGAACGTGTATACACCTCTGTAGTGTGTTCCCTCCCAGCATGATCTATGGGAGGAATCGAAACACCTTTGTAGTGTGTACACACCCAGCAGGTGTGTTGTTCAAAGCCCTGCAATGAATTGCAAGGTAATGTGGTGTAAATTAGCTCTATGTTATGTTGCTTGCGTTGATGAATGCAGGAATGTAAATGCATGAGCTAACCATTTTTGTCTAAACTGTGAAGCAGCATTATATATGCATCATGTGCATGATTTTTCCATATATGGCATTAGTGGAAATATGCTTTTAGAGACTTTTTGGTTGATAAATACGTTTTGCTGTGTGAAAATCACACACACCTGGTGTGTGTGTGTGTTTAGGTTAGTAAATCAACCCCAATGTGTGATACAATGCTGAAGATAGCATTGTATCACACTAAACACAATTTGACCGTATTTGATGTATCTCTTGAACATGTTCCTCTGAGATTAATTATTGGCCAATAATGTTGCTTTACGGGAATAATAGATTTTTTTTTTTAGCCCTGAGCCATTATGTAGAGACTGTTTATTGACTAATGCACCTATTCCTCTTTTCAGATCATATACGGTGACAATGAGGCCTTGTTGGAAGCCCTCACCCAGACATTGGATGATGAGATCAGCTTGTCAGCCTTCATGTCCTCTGGAGATGGGGACTTCTGCCCCGCACCCGCCCTCTCGCCAAAATCCTGCCTCCCATCTGAGTCCTTTAAGGGTCTAGAAACTGAAGATGAGCTGTCTATAGTAAGAACCACTTCCTACTGTTTAAAGTGGAAATGGATGAGGCCCTGAATAGCCGCCTGCATGGGTATGATAGGCAACAAAGGTCTGAATTTTTTCATTTAAGGCTTTAAAAAATATAAAAAACTCATCCATATGTTGTATGTGTAATATGTATTTATTAGATTGAAAGGCAGACATGTTTTCTTCACCATTCTAAAGGGCCCAGCATAGGGTTTTCCCATTTGGAATATACTATTATTCCACTTGATATGCTGCAGTTTCCCAGAGAGCACGCTCCATGTTCCCATTTTAATGACTTTGTACTTGTGACTAGGATGGTGCTGTTCCTTTTCTACTAGGTACTATATTTTGGAGTTCAAAAGGATAACATAATCATGGTCAGTTTTTAAAACTAAAGCTAAACCTTTTTTTTTTTTGCTTTAGTTCTCTTTTGGGTCGCAGGAGTACATTTACTAATCTACTTCCTGTGATCGAAACTCAGCATATCACGGACAAGTGTCCGCTATCTGCTGACCGTTCAGAGCCGCACTGCAGCCGGAAAGGATCCCAACAATATTGTCAGGATCCACCCTTCTGCCTGATTGCTGCCTGCCCCATGCTGCCTGCCCCATCCCCTATCTGTCCCTCCAAAGAGAGCTGGAGGAATAGAGTCAGGGGAGGGGGAATCCCTGCGGGGAGTGGTGACTGACAGTCACTGCTTTCCGCAGCGAGAAGTCGTGAGCTGAGTGGTCAGCGGTTTGTGATCGCACTGTTCTCGAGCCATAGAGCTGGCGTGTGACACCTGCAGTGTCACACACCGGCTCTAAGTATTGGGAAGAACCCAATAATTCTTGAAATGCTTTCATGTCCTGCCTATTATTAGAAAGGCTCACAAATGTGTCACATTTTCAATTCAGTTCTTTAAACAGATATTCCTGGCTGTGTTCTGTTTAATATTTGTTTTTGTTTAGCAAAATAAGTTCTTGTCAAATGCGGCTTTTTGCATTTAAACATGAAATGCAACAAAAGTCTATCTTTCACTTGCTTTACCTGCATCTCAAAAGGATTTGTTGCCTCTAGAGAAATACAAAGCAGATTGACCACAGCCTCAGAACTGTCATCAATACCACACCATTAAAGTAAATACAAATCTTCTGACCTTTTGACGTGCGTTTCGAATGCAGGAAGACAACGTTCAACTACATGAACCTTTTAGATAGCATACAAGCCCTAATGTTTTACATCTGAATTTTCATCACAGCCAGTCACATAAGATGTTTTGAACATAAAGTGGCAAGTTGAGAACTAAAATATGTTTTAAATGGCTGGCTAGCATAATCCATCATTAAGCAGACCAATCATTTAAAGAAGTCCAGGAAAATATTTTATTAACCCGCATTGCAAGGGTTAAGTGCTAAACCAAAACAGGTGATACTCACCTGACCATCTGAACCGGCTTGTTCTAGAACGTCTCTCCCCCTCTGCTTCAGCGGTCTCAGGCTTCTGGTGCACAGTTGGACTGCTCCTTGGTGTCCTCACATCTATATACACTTTGCATAGACTGTGTACTGATGTGAGGACACTGAGGAGCAGTCCAACTGTGCAGCAGAGGCGGAGACACGCTTCAATGAGTACAGAAGCAGGGAGTCGGCTTCTATGGTCTGAGAGTATAATTTTTCTTTAGGACCTAGACAGAAACCAGCGCTTAATCCTTGCAGTGCGGGGGTTGCCCCCCCACAAGGGTAGCACCTAGAAAAAAAAACGAGTGCTTAATCCTTGCAGTGCGGGGGTTGCCCCACCACAATTGTTGATAAAAAATTTACCTGGAGTTCTTAAATTTGTCAAAACTTTTAAGCACCATCTAATGTATGCCAGTAGTACACATCCAGGCAGTTCACCTGTTGAAAGGAGTTATTGCGCGCATGGGTAAAGCACTGGTTCACTTTCAGTTATGAAATCTTTGTCCTGCTCTGCCTGCCTTGCCCCAGCCATTGAAGTATTCATCTTTTTTTTTGCATAAGGAGTTTCTCCATACTCCTGCAGCCTTTTTAGTGCAAGCTTAAGGATGAACTCCAGGGTGCTATTAAACAAACACCGGTGAATGCTGACTTCTATTCTATATGAAATCTATTTTAAAGGCTCCATCTAGCAGTAGAAATGCTGAATGACGTTTCCCAAGCTTTACGCTGGGCAAAGTCTTTATAAATCAGCCCCTAGGTATGATACCATCCCAGAATGTCATGGCAGGGTTATAGAGTTGGGATTTCCAGTACAGTGATCTCTGCACCATGTCCCCTAAGAGCTGTATAATGAGGCGATTAAGTTTACCAGCATCTATTCAGAACTGAAATTTTAGATTTGGTGTATGTGTTTACCTATAGGTATATGTTTATCTATAGGTATATGTTTACCACATTGAGGTATATGTTTAACCTCAGCATCTCTGCTAATAATGGCTAGCTTTAAGGTGGCAAGCAGAATTAAGATCATATTGACAAAGTAGGTCATTTCACCAATACAGACTGACCCATTTTAGATGTGGCTCTTTCACTCTACTGATGGAAAAACTTGCACTGATATAGCCACAATACTACTGCTATGATCTGTACAGTCTAACCAACCATTTGACTTACCAGATGTAGCCCAATTCTAGCAGACACTACATGTTTGACTATTAACTAGATTGTTGTCAAAATTTGCAAAATCACATATTTACCCACCAACACACATCATGGTGAATAAAGACAAGTTGCTGAAAGGGAGGGGGGAAATGCAAAAAATGTAATACTCAGTTTCCAGCTGAGTAATAGTCAAATCACCTGGAAATCTGGTAACTGATATGCTATTTTTAGAAAAATAAACTGATGAGAAAACATATCTGTAAAAAGAGAGCTTTTTCTAAAAAAAAATAAAAAGCAGCCAACTGATGTACCGCTAAGTTACATTTACGCATGTAGAGCAAAAAAGGAATACAATTAGGTTTGTCAGTGGTGCATGCATTTGTTATAACACACTTGATACACAGCCAGACGAGCAAAAGGGATCATTTATCAAGAACTTCCAAATGACATGTGTGCCTAATGGATGCTTTTCTGCCTGTTTCAGATTGCATCTGGTTCAGTTCTAAGGGGTTGTTTGAACTTCAATAATTGCCTGTTCTCTCACAAGAAAATCTGATCTGCTCCACGCAGATACAATGTGTGTGGATGGCTTTCTGTTGCCATTACTAATTTAAATGCACATGCTTGTAAGGATCTCTGGCAAATCGTTCTTACAGCTCAGGTGATATGTTTCACATATGTACCTGAAAATAGCAATGGGCGCTGTGAATGTAAAAGTCAAATGTTCACAGAGCGAACAGCTCTGCAAACATTTTATTATTCATTCTTAAGTGTCAGGCCTGCCCAGTTGTCTGTTAAGCTACTGAATCTGCCAATTCTTCTCATCTCCCCAGCATAGGCACTAATTGTTCTGTAGTTGAAGACAGGAACTCGGAGGACTCCTTAAAGTGGTGTCCACAGGGCACAGGACAGCTCTGAATTTTTTATTGTTGGAGTTTAAGAGAATGTATGACTTTCCCCAATGCATACATGCTTCGTAGGAGGTGCAAGTAAATGGTGAAAAAGGAAACCTATGCAGGTCGTTTAATCTGTTCTCACGTTTCGTGTTGCCGCCAGGTACTTGTAGACATTACTGTCTGCTTTTATCTATAAAGAGGCTTGTAGAATGGATGGAGGTAGGCCAGCTGGAAATAATTAGTATAAAAGTAAAGTTATCATATACAGTATGCTAATGTAGGATAGGGGGTTATTTGGACCTCCAAAGTATTAGCCAAACACGTGGTCCTCAGTTCAGTCCTCTATGGGTACTGCTAAAACACTAATAGTGGCTATCAAAGGAGAAAACAATACCGTATATACTCGAGTATAAGCCGTCCTGAATATAAGCCGAGGTACCTAATTTTACCAAAAAAAAAGTATTGACCCGAATATAAGCCGAGGGTGGGAAATGAGGCAGCTACTGGTAGATAGATACCAATAAAATTACATTAATATTTATTTAAAAGAAAAATAACCTAGCTCTGTAAGTGGAAAAGGGGGTACAGGGCTACATATCATGTACTACGGATCATTTAACCCATTCATATTAGCAGAGGATAATTGTAAATCTATTGTTCAGTGCACTCTATATGTAGTATATAGTACATGTACATATAGAGTGCCTGCAACAATACATTTACAATGATCCTCTGCTAACATGAATGGGTTAAATGATCCATAGTACAGGGCTACATACAGATAATTTAATACATTCATGTTAGTATAATTGTAAATGTATTGTCTGCACTGTATTAGCAATATATACTCTATATGTAGTATATACTGCTAATACAGTGCAGACAATACATATATAATTGCTTAATGAATCTCTCTCTCTCTCTCTCTCTCTACCCGCCCCCACCCTCAGCCCTCACTCACTGTGTCCGTGTGCCGGTGATCGATCATCACATCACGGAGAGAGCAGGGACGAGTCAGCGGCGCGCTGGTCCAGTGGGAAGAGCTCCAGGTGGGGTCCTAATTTATATACGGTAAGTGGTCTCCTTTTAACTGCCTGAAGGAAAACATTTTAGTTACCGTGGATGATAACTGTCTTAATATTGTACTATAGACATTAAAGCGAGAATCTGCTTGCTATAAGCAACAAGAACATTTGTTCATTCAGGCCTTTATGTAGTCGAGAGTTGTACAATGTGACCGACAGTTGTCCAAGTTGATTCAAAGACAAATGTTCAACAGTGCACAAATTCTCGGTGCAATGGTTCAGAGGAAGGCATCAAAATCTATTATTTAAAAGCAAGGGATTTTTTCATTTTCTTATTTTAATACAGAAGAACCCTTTTATGTAATCAAAAAAGGCTTAAAGTAAAAACAGCAGCCTTTAAAGTATTTTGCTCCATACAGCTAAAACTGCATTGATCATTCAGCCAGTTGGAGGGTCTAGAAAGCAGTAGTTCTTTTTCAAGATGCTGTGTGTTTGTGTATGTTCAGATGAATTTATATGTTGAGGGTTTATAATGTATGGTCTCTGATGTGTCTTCACTTTGTTTTACAGCTAAAGAAGCTACTTCTTTCTCCAGCACAGACACCCACGGGTTCTGACACTCACAATGACAGCAGCTGCAGGCAAACAGGGATCACAAAACTTCGTCCTCACCGCCAGTGTCTGAAGGTAAAGAAAGATGCTTAGTTCCTAGCTTTTGTGCTAGATAAAGCAAAGCAAATAGTTAACTAATATGTGTGATGGTGTCATCAACAGACGTTTATCATTCTCAACTATTGCTGATTTGTTTGACTTTATCTATTTGCTGAAAGCTGTTTACTCCCCTAGCTAAGTTTATTTAAAAGAGCAAAATCTGTAAAAATATGTTGTTTTAAAGTGGGCTTGAAAAAAAAATGGTTCCCTTATTTGTTTTGGGTCGAATGGGGAAGGGCTAAAGATTCATTTAAGTTTAGTTGCTGTGTCCCCCATTTAGGAGGTTTCACCACCTTTTTCTGCATGGCTACCAGGAGTAGAAATGAATAAAATCTTAGATGGGCACAGACCGTAAACCGTAAACATTATTAAGAGCCATACACAAGGGATAAAATCTATGTAATGTTTTGTCTACTTTTCCTTTTGGTCCATACCGCTCAATACCTTTGTGGTCACTGGGACAGGAAATAAGTTAAGATCTCCCCACCAGGTTTTCCCACTCTATTCAAAACTAAAAGAAAAATCTAAATATTAACTATCCTAATAATAGGCATAACCTAAAAAGGGTTGTATTGCCAAACTATTAAACCACTCACTTTAAGTTGTTTAGCATTATGGCAAAAGATGTTTGTTTTACTCATCTGTCCTCAAAGTGTTTACCCAGCTCTACGGACCTGTCAATCATTCTGTTTACATCCTTTTAACCTTGCTGTTGGCAGTAACACATTTTAACAATGGACATAATAGTATGAGTTTCCTTAGGATCAGATTACAAAAAGTTTCTCATATTTTGCTGACTTTTGGAACTCTCAAGTTCAGAAAACATAACTATTGGGAGAATAGCCACTTAAACAAAAATTTTTTGTTTCTGTCATGATTCCTGCTGTGAAATCTCCCTGATCACTCCTGGCCTTATACTGATAATCATAGTCTGAACATTTGAGGAGAGCTCCCCAACCCCCCTTAAAATGTCTTGGGCATTAAGTTGCTTTTGTGATATCTGTTGTCTATGTCTGATCATGCATTTTGTATAATGGCCATTTTGCAGGTGGAGAGTCCAGTAGAAAGACAGAGTGGTGTTCCTCAGATGCATTTGAGAGGCTGTACTGAGCTGCAAAGGCATTTGGTGTCACCTGCAAATGTCCCATCATCTTCAGCTAAGGATGACAGCCTTGACAGCAACCAGGAAGCAGAAAGTGACACAGCTGAGGAGGATCAGAGTGGGGATGAATCTGGGAGCTTCACTCCATTACCAGCTTTACAGAGCCAGGAACCTCAATTCACATGTGAGCGGGAGAAGCAAGCTGTGGTTGACCTTATTAGGTATATGCACACCTACTGCCTTCCACCTAAAAAACATCACAGTGATGAGAAACACCAGCATTGTACTGGTCTCCCAAAGAGATCAAAGACTAACACCAACCCATCTGTGCATTCTTGTTCCAACCGAGTAATCAAAGTGAACTCTGCTAATGCCAAGGGCAAGTGCTATGCACAGGGAAAATATAAAAAGACAAAACCAACAAGGACCGAATCTTCAATTCTTAAAGTACTACTTGCAAAAGACATTTGTGGGGATGTAAGCAAGCCTTACAGGTTGGCGCAACCGGTATATGCAGCTTTTACTGATTCTTCTTGTAGCCATGTAATGCAAGGGAAAACAGAGCAGGGGCTGGGAAGGGGCAACAAAGCAGAATTGGAGAAAACCCACAAGCCATTACTTTCGATCAGGAGAGAGAGCAGATGCATGGAAGCAGACACTGAAAGGCCAGCACATAACGCTCCAGAGCAGGTGACCAATAAATCTGCGTTCAAACAGGAATGCTCTGTTTATGCAGTCAGGCGCTCAAGTAGACTAAATCCAGAGTTCTGGTTTAATGATGAAGTTTCTCCCCAGACATGCACAGCACAGGCAGGCATGAATGCCCAGATTACCACGGAACGATCTCACTGCTTGACAACAGAGCCTTTCGTTGATGAAGAGCAGGTGGCCGAAGTGGAAGTTGAAGAGTCTATTGAAACTACTGGTCGGGTTGAAGGTGATAGAACTCTACAAGACATGCTTGAAATGGATGCCAGGGAAGCACACAGTGATCTTGTCAAAGAAGGGTGCCACACCTTAGGTAAGTCTAGCTTAGTCACTTTTGGGGTATATTGGACAAATTTGTCAAGGAAAATTCTAGAAGAGCTATACAAACCAAAAGCAATTTGATTTTATAATATTTCCCAGTGCATTTTTCAGATTTTGTTACACATGACATTCATATGAATGGAAAGGATAAAATAGCAGTATTGCACAGTGGGATTTTTCAGTAAGGTAAAAGAAAAGGCCAACCAATGACAAAGTAGGCTTTGCAGGAAAATGTTTTTTTCCTAGCCCCCCACCAACTTTTAATTATAAATGTTTTCACTAGCTTACATGGGTACATAGTTAGTCAGGTTGAAAAAAGACACAAGTCCATCGTGTCCAACCTATAGCGATGCACCAAAACCTGTTGTTCGGTGTCGAGTATGAGTACCGGTACTTCCGCTGGATGCCGCCCGGCTTTCTGATTGCCCGGGAAGTTGACTCCGTGTTGTTTGGCTGGCTCAATTGTGATTGCCCGGGAAAGTGGATTTCCAGCCATTCAGCATCGAGCCGGCTTCCCGGGCCTAGCAAGAAGCCTGGCGGTGAGTAATGATCCGCCTCCCAAGTTCCTGATTGGCCGAGAAGCCGGCTTTATGCTGATTGGCCACAAAGCTGGCTTCCCAGCCAATCAGGATCGAGATGGCTGTACGGCCAATCAAGGAGGAGGGTCATTAGTCACCACCCGGCTTCCTGATTACCCAGGAAGCCGGCTCATTGTTCTCCTATGGCACTGCCGGTCAAAGGAAATTTTTCTCTGACCGGAAGTTCCGGTATCGGGGAAGGTATCGGAACATTTGGGTTTGGATATTACTAGTGTTGGATCGGTGCATCCCTAGTTTTCACACAAGGTGCACTCATTTTCTCACCTATTTCCCCTAAAAATAGAAAAACTAAAATGAAAAAATGCTCACCAGTCATCCGGCTTTCAGTGGGTTTACATAGGGAAATCTAAGGGTCCCAAAGCCCAAGAAAATGAACTTCTGCACTGTGTAGTGTTATTCAGGGGGTGGGGTGGAGGTGAGAAAATCAGTGGATCTTGAATTTTCAGTTTTTGATATTCCACAAGAAGTCTTGCGAGATCTCCTGCATCCAAGTATACAGGGATGCAGCAGTTAAGCAAAGTGACATTACTGGCGCCTCCAAGAAGTAGGGTCCAATAGGTGTTTTTATGTTATGAATGTCTAAAGCAAAGTTTGGTTTAAAAGAAACCTGGGAGGAAAAAAGTTTTGAAACCAGTGCTTACTATCATGCTGGAACCTCAGTACCCTTGAAACCAAAGGTGCTGTAAAATGTTTTTTGGGTCATTGGTTCTGGCTAGCACCCTCCTGCCTCAAATGTCTTCCTATTTGCCCATCGCTAGAAGGTGGCCTTATTGGTCATTATAGATTATAGGCACATACAGGGCAGTTGACCAGAGCCATCAACCATAGAAGCTGGGCTCTCTTTGCATTACACCCAATAGCTTGGGTTTTAGGGGTACCAGAGCACTATACAGGAGCACATCTGGTGTGCAGGTGCTTGTTCTGCATGTAAGTCTCAATTTTTTTTCCACTTTTGTACCTTTTTTATCTTAAGGAAAGTGCTAGATATAGCTTTAAACCAACCTTTAGCAAGTTTGCTCCTTGCTTTGTAAATGCTTGTTGCTCTTTAGACTAGTATTAAATAGCTGGTATTACCGAATACCTGTGTGTTTTTTAGCGTATCTCAAATAATGATACAGGACCAAAACTTTAAAATGGCATGCCAAAAGTGGCTGTATTTATTTAAATTTGGCCAGCCCTCTTTTCATCCAGTCCTGGAACACGCTTAAATATACAGTATGTTGCATGGAATCAGCAATACTTTGACAGTTCTGGCTTTTGAAGGTTGAATGCGTTATTTAAGGTACATTATGTGTCTATTTGCATTCCATTCCAGCAGTGCATGCACGTCAGTGTTTTCTATGGTTTACAGCACCATCCAGTGGATGAAGTAACCCGTACAGACTTTAGAGTCAATTCATTATATGATAACCCATATTTCATCCCTGTGCTGTATTTATGAAATTTTAGGTTGAAAATATTGAATTATTTGTTGCTTTCTGCATTATTTCATGTTTTATGAAAGCGAAGCTAAATTCGTTTTGTGATCTAGATTATTTTTAAAAAGTAAAGAGAACGTATGAGAAAGTAACACTGCGACCAGAGCGAAGGGAGCCAAGTAGGATGCGAAATAGACTGGATCAAAAAATGACTTTAGGTTTGCTTTTAGGCCATGTGTGGATGAGCTTTGGGCTTGTGTTGATGACATCAATTTGAGACACTTCTGAGATCGTTCGCAAATTCATTGACATGTGCATTTGACCTGACTTTCTTCTGACCTGCATTTTACCTACTTTAAGTGGGTTTTGCATCCCCATAAATTTGTATGGCAGTGCAAAACCCTTCTGAATCAAACAAAAGTCCATCGCACAGGCCTAAAAAGGTTTTTGCATGTAAACATGACAAAAATGATTGCACAGATTTACACGCCCTCAAATATTGCTAGATTATCAGTGGCGTTCATTGTTGGAATGACTTTAAATACTATAATTGTGTCCTTTTCATGCTTTCAGGTGGCACCAGATGCTCTACAGTCTCCTTGTCACAAACGTAAGCTTTTCAAACTAACATAAATGAAGTCTAGGAATATAATGTAGCAAAAGGCAAAAATGTCTTATATATTTACAGGGTACACAAGATCAAACACATTTTCAGCTTTATAAAATTCTCTACTTATAAATCCTCTAATAAGTCAATATCTTGGGCACTAGTGCATTTCTTTATCCATCATGATAATAAATTCAAACTGTAGAATGTGTATACAGCACTGTCAAACAAGACAGTGGGTTAATAGGAAAAAGAACGCACATAGGCTGCACACAGTTTCTTGGCATAACCTTTCAACGGCATTAGGTCAAGTGCATTGTTTACTCCGCTGTTAATACATTGTAAATACATAAAATTATGTCACCACCTCTAGGAAGGCATTGAAATTACATTTTCTGTTGTACCTTGTTTGTACAAGCAGGGACATAGACCTTTTGTTAGTATATCAGTGACATCTATTCATTCCTCTTTCCATCTGTCTTTAGGTATATGATGTGTTCTTCCATCTTTATTACTACTAGTTTTGAACACAACTCCATTAATATTATAAGCTGTAAAATGTTGCTTTATGTTTGTTGATTTGCAGGACATCTGCATTTGAGAAGAGACACTTTGATCAAGGAATTTCTGTTGAGCTGTGTGGGACTGCAGGTAACATATCCATTTATTATAGTTCTTAACTTATACATTTCTCTTATGTATTAAGTAAAGTCTTGACTGCAACTTCTTATTGGACATGACGACTGCCCAAGATTAGCCATTAACCCCTTCGCGACCAGTGATGTACATAGTATAGCCACCGGGACTCTGTTTACAGTTGTAAAGCCGGCTGTTGGCTTTACAATAGAAGCGATTCTGGCAGCTCAGCTGCCGTCGGATCGCTTCTACGGGCCGGTAAAGTGCGCTCCCCCGCCCAACCCCTCCTGTGGGCCTGGGACCAACATCTCACGTGTCTGCGGGATGCTGGGGAGGAGAGCGGCGAACATGCGTTCACCGATCTCCTCCCCACTCTATAGAACCGGAAACGAGCAATAACATTTTAAAGTGTGATCTGCATTTCAATAGCTTATTTAAAGTGGATATTAGGGGTCTTTTGGAGCCCCAGTATCACCTTTTAAGAGGACCTGTCACCACTAGTATGCCATAATATGGGGGGGCTTGTAAGCCCCCCTATGTGATAGCAATTAAAGTTAAAAAAAATTATAATAAATTTAAAAATACTGCGATGTTTGTCGCAAATTACATTAGGGCAGCTCATTCATTTAATTGGGCTGCTCAACACACCACAACCAACCAAAAATCATAAATGCAGCATTTTCAGCAGCGCAATGCAATGCACATCTATTGACAAGGTGCATTGGGATGCCATTCAGAATTAATGGCACTGCATCGTACTTACTCATGTAGCATGCATCACTGCACATGGCAGTAAGGTGATAGTTATATCATTTAAATACAAATTCTATTGTGCCTCCCTTTAGACATCAAGTGTGCTCCTGGTATTTACCAGGTTGGCCACTACTGCTTTAAAGAGTAAATCAATAGCGATTGCAGCACATATACACAGGAGAAGCAAAACCCAACCAAAGATATTTCCAGATGGGAGAGCAGGTAAGTATTTACATTATGAGAGCTGCTCGGGGAAGGTATTGAGTAACAGTAATGGTAAGTGCACTCTAAGCACCTTTTAAGTCCCATTCAACAGTGCAAGAGAAGATGAGGTATTTTGTAGGTAACATATGACGTCTTTTGATATGAAGTCGTATTACTTCACCATGTATACGTTTCTATTGATTTACACCCCCAGAAAGCCATGCTATGCATAATTGGTGTTTTTTGTTTTCCTCTCCATTGCAGGTCTTACACCCCCAACTACTCCTCCATACAAGCCTGCAGAGGAGGATCTGTACAAGCCTGAGATCAGCCAGGGTTCTGCAAATAGTGATCCCTCGATTACCTCGCCTGTAAAAACGGGAGAGACTGAAAAGCGTCTTTTTGTGAATAGGAGACTGTCAAGGAAACAGCCCGAGAGGACTGAATTGTTTGCACACTTAAGCAAAACCTCATCCGTCCCTGTTAACCCCCCACAAGGAATTAAGAGGCCATTTTCCCGGTTTGGAGACCACGATTATTGCCAGGTGAAGAAGTCAGAGCCAGCTTTCCAGAGAAAAGTGATTAAATCTGTGGACAGGTCAGGTTATTGTGACAGGAAGCACATAGTGCCTCCAGTACTGGAGAGGAAAATGTCCTCTGAGAGAGAGGACAGCAAACAGCTGAAGGACCATGAAATTCGAGCAAGTCTCACCAAGCACTTTGGTTCTCCAGATAACACTCTTAAAGAGGAAGAAGATAATGTTACGTGTACCAGCCCTGAGTATGATTCAGCCTTTGAGGACAGTGAGAGTGAGTGCAACTCTCCAGAGGATGACATCTGCCTTTCTCCTCTTCGAAAAAAGTCATATAATCATAGGAACCCTACTTCCAAGCTACAGAGCTATCCTCGAAATCAGGCTACCACTCAAATTATACGGACACCTGACAACAGGAGGTCACAAAGGTGGGATAATCATTCTCTTACTTAAAGCTCCATTTATCATGCAAAAATGGCATTTGCAAATATTTCCTCAACACAAACACATTCCGGTAATATGCAAGTTACGAATAGGGACATTAGCTTGTTTTTTTCTTGTTTGATATACTGTTTGAATGTTAAAGAGAACAAAGTAGAAGCAGCCAATTTAAGCATGAAGCTTGGTAATGGTGAACTATACTGTATACAGTGCATCATTACTGTACAGGTCATTCGCAAAAGAAGTAGGAGGTGAATGGGTTAATGTACAGGTCACATACAGTGGAAGGCTGAAGAAGGGGTGGTTAATGTGCAGGATAAGGGAGGTGAAGGCGTTCATAAAGAGGCACTTCAAACAGAATGGAGATGAGATGTAAAGGAGAGAAGAGAGGTTAATGGTTAAAAAAAAAATCCACAATCAAATTAGTTAAAACCCCTCCCTTATATCTGCTATGTAAGATCCCTTCATTCATAATTAATTAATTCATACATTGAATTCTGCTTCCTATAGCAGTGTTTTTATTTGTGACCGCTATGATTGGCCAAAGCACAGAGCCACTCTTCTTGGCTCTGTGCATTTTTCCTGGGATCTGAGCTGTATTAATGACGGCAGGATCATAGGCATTGTGTGTCCACCAGACGTGAGCATAAGTAGTAAACAGGGTGCCATTTCAAAGCAGCAGTCCAGAAATAAATGTCCACTCCTCCACCATTTAAAAATGTATGATAGTAGTAAAGTGGTTAAAAAAAGCTATACATACACAGACCCCTTAGCAGCTCTGCAGTGGACAGTCTGATTTGGGTACAGCAGCAGTGTTTGCTGGAAAGCATTAGTAGCTTACTTAATTCTTTCACCTATCACCCAGAATTGTTCCTTAAATGTGTATAGGTGAACAGTTGCACCTGCCAGAATTCTGTTTGACCACTCTTGTGATTCACACACCACTGCCCTACTGTTATTCAAAGGAGTACATCAGTATTCAGAGCCTGCAGTTCCACTGTGTCCAGGGTTAGCTTAATGACTTCTTCCCATTCATAGGGCAATGTATACGCATCTAAACATTGGTGGGAGTGCCTCCCTGTGATTTCCTTCTCTAAGCTGACCTAAACAGTTCTTCCTCCAGCTTCCATTCCTGAAGCATGTAATAGACCTTGGTTCACTGACACTCCCATTTCATACAGATTTCTAGTGTTTGGATTATAGGAAGTTTATGGATACTTCCTCCAATAATGCTTACATTATGAAAAAATATATTCAATAGTGTTTGAATGTATACTTAGCGTAGATAGTGAGTTTTTATGTTTTTTTAAGAGTTTTTTTAAATAATTGAACAAAGCATATACCTGTAGTAGCATTTAAAACAGTGCCCAGCCAGCTGACTGTTAATGTCTTCTAGTAATTAGGCTGGGTACCAAGTATCCAGTTACAGACAATGAGATGGGCCCGGGTTCTCTGTAGTAACTGGGTTGTTAAATAATTCATGTTTTGACATATATTCTATGTATATTGTGCCCCATGGCTTTTAAGATTGCTTAGAGTAGGGCAAATGAAAGCTTAATATGTTCATATTTCATAATTTAGTCACATGCAGCCTTTGTATTTCTCTAGCAAGCAAGAGATCAGTGAGCACAGACAGACTGGACACTGGAACCAAAGACAACTCCAAAGGAAGAGAGAGCAGGTAATTGCGAGTTCCTAAGCATCATATGAATTGGCAAATTATTGTGACTGACCTTGCCAAAGAAATAAAAATACATACATATGCAAATATATGTGTGAATATTAAATGATATTAAGGTTGTTGATGAATTATTGAAGGATTAGGGCACCTATATTCATGCAATTACCTTCAGGAGCTTTCAATGCCCCCTCTTTGCCTGCATGCTGGGTCTTGCTGATAATACAAAGATCTGGAACTTTATGGAAGTGACGGAGCTTGCCTTCACACACATTCCACTTGGTCAGTGAGACAGCCCATAAAACTAATGGGCCAGTCATTTCCTGACTTTAAACAAGCATAGACATATTAGGTGCTGGTGCTGGAACATGCTTGTTCCGGGTCAGTGATTCACAAGCAGTGAAGCAAAGAGGACAACCGCAGCATAAGCAACTTTAAAAAACGAGTCAGCAATGGCAGCTCTGATGTTTCCATCCTGTCAGATTTGCTCTAAAGCAGATAGAAAGAACATATGCCAGTCTTAATGCACCAATGTAAAAAGAAAGCACTGTAAATAAATCACATAGGACATGAAAAATAGGCCAGAGCCTCTGAGCCCATTTATATAGGTGGAGGTATGCTGGATAAATGGTGGATTTGAGCCACAGCTGCCGTCAGTGATTACTATGTGAACTCAACCCCAACAGCTATTCAGGGTTTTCAGCATTCTGTACAACTACCTTGAGTAAATCAAAGGGCATGGATTAACTTCCAGGCTGAAAAAGCTTTTATACTGAAAAAGCAACGTTCTCAGGGTCAGGCTGCAATGAAGTAGCGTAATGCTCTGCGGGTCAGTGAACCTTCTTGTGACTTGTGATGCAGGTGCATTATACAGAAGGTCACTAAGCAGCAAAGAGGAAAAGTGCAAAACGACACAGTGGTCAGAGGGTGAATCTGTAGAGACAAATTGTTCTTTCTGGGCTACACGTGAGTGTGAAAAGTATAACATGGCTTTGCTTGATGGTGTACATAATTTTTTTTCTATGTACACCAGCAGACATCTGTTTTGTTAAATGTATTTAACATGCTAGTCAAATGTTTCTATGCCTGAGTTTAATCATTCCTTAAATACGTTTTATGTGGTTTTCCTTAGTTTTTTTGGTAACTCTTTCCCAAGAACAGGGAAAGCACTTAATGGGGGGTAGTGCCAATGGAAGAGTATCCACTCCCCATAGGCTCTTTTGAGACTCACACTGTTATAAGAATCCTTGAAATGAGGAGCTTTTTAAAATGGAAAGCCTGCCCATTATTTTTCATTTAGTTTCCCTTTCTGTCCCAGAAGGAAACAAGGTAGATATATCGGTGGAGCGCAGGACCATAAGAGTATGTGTAACCTAATATGGTCTTTGGTCTTGGACAGATGCTCTCTATCATGCAGGGTATCTGGGTACCTAAGGAAGTGCAAAAGAAATATGCAAGAATGAGAGCACCACCGTTATATGAATGGTCCAGTATCATTTTATTGATGTTAATGCAAAATCTATAAAAAGTAGCCAACGTGTTTTGGGGCTCACAGATCCCTCTTCATCAGGGCTTTCAGTGACTCTGCATCATACACCTCTATGCTTATCATGGGAGTTTCCACAGTCTGTAGTTACCCATACAGCTCTAAATTGTCAACAGTGACACAAGGTTAAGTGATGGGAAATCCCACCTTTCACAACTGTCACTGATACATGAATCTCTATTAGAAGATATCCCCTCCATAAAATGTTTAATTATCCCATTACTTAATGTTCCAGTGACAGTGGTCATTAGGTCAAATAGTGAGGGTGAATCACCGTATTGGGGGCACAAGGTTGTAAACATTCCATCTTAAAAAAGAAAAAAAAGCTTTAGGTTGAGTTCTACTCACTGTGTATATAGACATTGTTTATTGGGATAACAGACTTGTCATAAATCAGGAGATAGGTTCTTTAGATACAGTATGTAAGGTTTTGATAAGGTCTGAAAGATAACAGAAACTAATGTGTGTGTTTTAAATGTGTAAATTCTGCACAGGGCTGAAGAATAATTGGACAGTGATGCTATTCATGAAATCGTATGATTGCATCTGCTATTCAGAATTAAGGCTGAATTCAGATATAGAAGTCACACAATAATGTAGCTCTCTATTTATTACCTGGGGATGCACCGATACTGGTTTTTCTGTATTGAGTACGAGTACCGATATTTACGTTTTGGGTACTCGCCGATACTGAGTACCGATACTTGTGCTTCTGCTAGCATGGTTTCCCGGCCAATGAGGAAGCCAGGCGGCGGGTAATGACATGCCGCCCTGCTTCTTGATTGCCTGGGAAGCCAGCTTCATGCTGTTTGGCCGACTTGATGCTGGCATGGAGCCAGCCAAACAGAATGGAGCCAGCATCCTGGCCTATCGGGAAGCTGGGCAGCGGGTAATGACACACTGCCCGGCTTCCAGATTGGCTGGGAAGCCGGCTCAATGTTCCCTTTGCGGCACTGCAGGTCAGAGGAAATATCCCTCTGACTGGAAGTTCCAATATCGGGGGTAAGTATCTGAGCATTTTGGCGAGTACGAGTACTCACCCAAATATTCGGTATCAGCACCAATACCGATACTAGTATCGTTATCGTTGCATGCCTATTATGTACACATCCTTAAATGGGGTTTGGGTTTTGTTTTTTATATATATATAAGCAGTATAAATGCCCAAATTTGACTTCAGCCTCTTGCAATCCTTGCACAGCAGAGCTCCGACTTGGGAGTGAGTAGCAGCACAAGAAGCCATTTTGTAGTGCCGCAGTGCAAGGAGATGCTGAAAGGAGTGAGAGTGATAAATGGGTTTATCAGTCTGCTGCTGCTTTTTATTATTGCTTACTGACAGGATGGAGCAGGGACAAGAACTGTAAGTTTGGCTGAACTGCAGAAAAGTAAAAATTAAGTCTCCTACACTACCAGATAAGGCTAAGCTGTGTAAATCTCAAGACTGGATGGGCAGAAATACAAATCCTTTGGCAGGTTCAGCAGCTCTTTTATACATATTTCAGTGTTGTATTTAGCTGTTTACCTGGGGTTCAGCTTTAGCAACTAAAGCCGATTAAACATAATGTAATTTTTTTTCCCTCGTAGTAACATACATGTAAACACTTGGTTATTGGGCGGTACTGGATCCTAGGAATTGAATTACAAAATAACCTAGTTGATAGTTTTATGTAAAATGGAATGTACAATTAAACAATATTGTTTATCGGATATGTATGTTCCAAATCTACTTGGGTAAATATTTTGCACAATCCCCATTTAAGGCATTTTAATGATGAACATTTTGATTATTCTGCTCCTTCTCCAATGGATTAAGCTCAGCCTCAGTCAAGTACAAATATCTCCAAGTTGCAGAACTTCAGATTAATCAGCCGCGGAGGTAGAAAACGCGCAGTGCGAGCCAAGAGCACACTGTAGATGAGATTTAAATGGACCACAATGTCCTTCAAAATTACACTGCTACTAGCCAAATCTATTGAAAATTCAATAAAGTGGGAGCTGTGTTACACCATTATGTTCATAACACGTCTTTCATAATTCAGAAGGCTTAAATAGAATTTCTTAGTCTTAGTCTTTATTCTTCTTAGGCAATCACAATATGATGTTCTTGTAAATTCTAAGTGCGTTTAAAATTCTCTCATTGATTTTATAATGTCTTAGATGTCACCAACTTGTAAATGACCATAGCAAAGTAATACTATTAAACTAGGTAAATAAATAAAAATGTATTTTTAAGTGGTGAGGCAGAAGCTGTTGTGTTCTGGAATATCAAAAATATAAAACAGTGATGTGGAATTGGTGGTGCATTTTGCTATTGAAGTAAGCATAGTCTATTGAGGAAATAAAGACAATTGCTGATTGGTTTGACATTAATGTTATATCATTTAGAATGTCTACACAACATCTGATGTATGCACATGGGCCAAACATTTAGCAGCTGGCACTTGGTCAGGTCAGGTTTTATATATACAAAAAAGTATACCCCAACACAAGTTGTGGTGAGGTGGTTCAAAGGGAACCAAAAATGTCCTCCACCAAACCAGTGGGAAGAGCACTTTTTAGGACAGAAGGTATTTACACGTTTCATCTCATCACAAATCCCAGAAATAAGGGAACTATTCCTTTTTTTAGTAGGGTTGGTAGAGCTATGCAAATCAAGGAATCAAAAAGCCCATCTGTGAAAAGCAACAGGTAACGTTTCTTCTGCAGATAGAGGGTAGGGGGCAGAAACGGCTGCCACCCTAAGCTTTACTTTTTGTGCCCTACCTCCAGACTTTGTGTGCAATGTCTAAGGGGAAGATATGGACAGTATTCAATATGCAACTTTGTATGGCGACAGCATGGTTATTACACAGTGGTGAGTCCGTGGGTGGAAAAAAGGAGATTGGGTGAACCGGGGAAAGGATACAGGGGGAGGACTGATGTGTGTGCGCTTGAGGTGAAGAGATCAGGTTTTCATCGCTTATTAGATTTTGATCTAACAAACTTTTGTTTTTCTTCTTACTTGTGGTATAATATATAACTCGGGCTGTTACTGATTAAAATTGTCGTGTTCGATTAATCAAATTTTTTTTTAATCGATTAATATGGATTAATTATAACGCACATACAGATCCAACTACATTGACCTATACACATACAGCACAGCAATGAAGTATTAAAATGAACTAGGATCACACTAATCCAGCACGATATTAATCTCGCATGCCCCACTCAATATGGCCGCCGCTTGAGTGGGGCAACTCAGAATAATAACGTGCTGGATTAGTGTCATCCTAGTTCATTTTATTACTTCATTGCTGTGCTGTATGTATATAGGCCAATGCCTTGGCTGGCGCTCGTGCAGAAAGTTCCTTGGGCAAACTCATTGGCCCAAGTCGCTCCGTCGGCTAACGAAGGGAAGGGGGGAGGAGTCCGGTGATGTCACAGACATCGACGTCACCGGACTCCTCCCCCCTCCGTTAGCCGTCACGGACACCGACGTCACCAGACTCCTCCCCCCTTCCCTTCGTTAGCCGACGGAGCCACTTGGGGAAGGGAGGAGGAGTCCGGTGAAGTCGGATGTCCGTGACGTCACCGGATCTCCGACGGGACTCCCGGAAGCCGGCGGAGAGGTGAGTGTTTTCATTAGCGATCAAAAGAATTTTAATCGATCAAAAAGTTTAACGATTAATCAAGAAATTAATCATTAATTTCCGCAGCCCTATATATAACCAAATTGTGCCTTCTTGGCTGTAATAGCCTTGTGTGTTAGCACCTTCGGTGATAATTTTATTATATGATGCACGTAACTGCTCTAATGGCTGCCTCCCATGCCTAATAAAAATGAAACTGAAAGGTAATGGCTGAGGATTGTTACCAAACAGCCAAGGCTCCTGTTCAGTTGAAATCGCCATTGTCCCATTTCTGTACGGAGTGCTGGTTCTAGGGCAGGCATAATTCTCTGTAATGCTGTAGAGCTACTTTCAATGCAGCATAAAAATAATGCACGTCTACATTACCCATGAACATTCAGTGAAGTCTGGTAGTCGAAGGAACACTAATAACATACACCAGGGCTCAAAATTTCAAGTCCTGAGCTACTAGCCAGGCCTTAAGAGTTACTCGCCACCAGTTGCCCCACCTAACCCCAACCCTGCCTCGGCATTAACTCCGCCCCTAAACCCACCCTCTTAAATTATCTTATGAAATTACACTTTTAAATGTTGAAGGCAGAATAAAGTTACAAAAAAAAATATTAACAACAATATTAAGATAAAGCAATGTAAACATTGCGGCACTCCACATCCCCACATGTGGAGTAAAATAAATACCCTCCCCCCTGTTCTCTGCCTCCCCCCATATAAAATAATACCCCAACGCACTCTCATAGTCAGGTACGCGATCCGTGACCGCGTGCCTGACTGAATTTCCACTCGCCCTCTCTTTATTTCCACTCGCCAAATGCGAGCGGGCGAGTGGAAATTTTGAGCCCTGACATACACTATTGGTGAAAGCTGTCCATAAACCGATGTTATAAACCAGAGCAACGGGTTTGTACCAAGTGCATTAACCCATGACTGCTGGATTTTGACTAGTGTGAAACTGAAATTTAGTACATATGGCTTACTGCACTTGGCACAAGGTCTTCTCAATCATTATATAAGCCAAGTAAGATGTGGTTGTATATGCAAATCCCCAATGTAAATTAGGTCAAACTCCAGGTTCCCAAAAGGCAGCAACAGTGGATTTCTCCCTGATTCTGCATATGACCTTTAAAAAAGTTGTCTGTATTATGCTTGCTTTCTCTTTTTTTTTCAACCTCAGAGAAATGTTTTTCAGGAAAAGATTTTTGTCCTTTATTGACGAGTGCGGTTTTATCTTTGCAGGATGAAGGATGGGTCATTGTCATCAGAAACCTCTCAAACAGCATTAATGCTCATGAACTGAAGAAAAGGTTTGAAGTGTTTGGAGAGATCCTCGAATGTCGTGTCCTTAGTAAAAGCAGGTAGCTAAGAATTTTTTCTCCCTTTCATTAGCTAGTGCTGAAAATGTGAACAGATATAACCCTAAGGTTTAAAACGGAAACTGCACAACCTAAAAGGCACATGGAGGGTCATGTGTGAGGGTAGGAAATGGCGATTGTCCAATTCCTACAGCTTTATCATGTCTCTGAATAACTATAGCATTGAGGATTACATAGTATCAAACCTGCACCGCGCTTACACACTACAGACAAACAATAAAATACAGTAGAATACAATAAGTGTATTATATGAAACAATAAATATATGTGACACTATAAATATCTACAATACCTTCCTTGTGCTATATAAATAGCATGAATTAGATTGCCCAGAGAACCCATTTGGTCGAACCCAGAGAACCAGACAACTCACGTTCACATTTTACTTTCCCTCAATATGCACTCAAAGAGAAATAAAAGTATTTCTTACACACTTTATTAAAAGAGTTTAAAAAGCCACTTACAAACAGCCACGATTCTCGCAGATATCCACAAACTACCACAGTTCAGTAGCATCCGAGTACCAGGAAATGTTCGTATGCCCCACCTCCTGACATGTTTCGTCATAAGACTTCCTCCAGGGGTAGCATATTTTAAATTGCAATAGCCAATAGCAGGCTGGCTATTAAAATCCCGCCCTCTCTCAGGTCCTTTCCTCTTTTCAGTGGGCGGGCACAATAGCCAGCCTGTTATTGGCTATTGCAATTTGAAATAACCAATAGCAGGCTGGCTATTTTAAACCCATTTACATTGTGTTGCTGACCACGAAATCCAGCCACTGGCCGGCAGCAAAATGTAAACAAAAAATTGAATTAGCAACTAAACAAAGGTAATGCTAAGCTAAGAAATGACAGCATGAATTTAGTGGCTAGAAGAAGTATGTTTATTACGAATCCTCTGGCTGGTAAAAAGAACATAAACCTATATATATGTATTTCAACTGTGTGTTCAGTTGTTTGTCTGGAATTTCTCTTTAAATAGAGATTATCACTTGCACATCATAAACTGATAAAACTTGGAACTTCTGTACCCATTGGCATATCAAATCATTCTAATTCTAATTTAAAAGTATCTGACTTTCTTTGATCCAGGAGTGTAATTTACATATTTTTTAAGCAAGTCTTTTGGAAATAAGTTTATTTTTTTCCTTTTAGAGGAGAAAAGTATGGATTCATTACTTACCGACGGTCAGAGCATGCTGCAATGTCATTAAAGAAGGGCCCCTCTCTGAGAAAAAAGAACGAACCCTTATTTCACATGAGCTATGAAGGTTCCAGACATGTGTTTTGGACCAAATATCGCCATCTAGGTAAAACTCATGACCAGATATTGCATAATGGTTTGTCTTGGTGTCTTGGTGTCTTGCTGTGTAAAGGCCTTCCTTATTTATATATAGTCTTAGTGCTGTTCCTGACAGCAGCTGCTCATAGCAGTGGTCTGAAATATGTGCAGTCCAGTGGCCCTAGGTAACAGATGGTGTTCTATCCCATCTAACCTTGGTCATAACTGCAAATGTATCACTGAAATGCTTGGTTGTACCATTGTTTAATAAAGCATTTGATTTTTCATTTGACATTGATGTTCTAAATGTATATGTTGTAGGGATGTTCATGTTGGCTAGGAAGCCAGCTTCACTTGTTCTTAGGCAGCCTGGCTTCCTGACCAATCAGGAAGGTGGGAGGCAGGTCATTACATGCCATCCGGCTTCCTGATTGGTTAGAAGCCAGACTGCCTACCAATAAGTGAAGCCGGCTTCCTAGCCAATCAGGTAGGCGGGTCATAACCCACCTTGCGGCTTCCTGATTTGAAAGGAAGCCGGCTCCATGCTCCCTCTGCACTGCCGGTATCGGAGGTTCCGGTATCGGAGGTAAGCATAGGAGCATTTGGTCGAGTACTCACCCAAATACTCAGTATCGGCGCTGATACCGATACTAGTATCCGTATCAGTCCATCCCTAATATATATATATATATATATATATATATATAAATCATTTTTGTTTGTGTCCTGTTATGGCTGTTTGTGCCCTGTTGGGGAAATTTCTGTCCCCGAAACACAACAGGAAGTGTGAGAAAATCACTCATAGCTAAAGAAAAATCTCCTCTTAGCCAGCTGTCACTGAAAAAAGATATGCCCATTGGAGGATTCTCCTCCCCTCCTGTTCCAGTGGCAACTATAAAATGTTGGATTTCCCATTGGTTTCTCAACGGTAAATCTCTCCAACAGGGCACGATTCAAAAACATGACAGGTTTTTTTTAAACCTTTCCCACTCTATCCAATACAAGACAATTTTGATTTTAGATATTCTTTAAAGAAAAAAATAAATGAAGTCCAAAAGTCTCATTTCTTTTTCATCCATTGAGGGACTCATGAGTTCATAGACTGTTAGACAGTATACCCTGAGAGTCTAAGAATGTTTGTGTCGCTCAATAAAATCAAAGAAAATATTATTTTTATAAAAATCAAAAAAATCCTATTTTTTATAAAGTGTTTGAAATTTGGTCCATTTTTTCACCATAGTAACAAGTTTCATGCTACCCATGGAATACTGGGAGAATAAGAGGGTAGAATCTGATTGGTTTGAATAGGGAAAGGGGAGGACCTTTAGAATATTGCATTTTCCTTTATAATGTGCTGTCAGATATACTGACTGGCTAATATTTTATTATTAGATTCAAGTGCAGAAGAGCCCTCATCAATGAAGTATAAGCCCATGGATTTTGACAACTTGCGTCGATGACAGCCTTATAAAAGAGGAGTACCTCAATACCTCAAGACAAGGCACTTCCAAGATGTTTACGTTTTTTGAAACAAAAAAATGGAATAGAGAAACAAAAGACTTGATCCTTTAAATTGATGTTTACATTGAACAAAGCTGCTTCTGTATGTGATTTTATCCCATGGTGTTGCTGTCTCACTGCCACATTTTAGAATCGTTGCTTTTCCAGGTATGTCTGTAAACCTCCTGTGCTTCCCTTTCCCCCTTGTGGTTGCAGCTATGTTCTCCATAACATTTTGTCTGTAGTACGTTGAAAAACAAAAAATGTCTTTTGTGAATAGTCTGAATTACAAAACGAATTTTAATTGGGGGGGGAAGGTGTATATTCTAAAAAAATAATAATGTATTTATGGTTCACATGTACTGTATTTCAGATTGTTGTTTGCTTCATCTTGAACTATGCATTCTAGTGAGGTGTTTGCAAAAGATCAGAATTAATCCTCAATTTGTAATATTCCTTATCAAACTGCAAGGCATTGAAGGCTGATCTGGAAGAACGCAGGGCATTGACAACAATAGTCCTGATATTGCAATGAACAAGATTCATGTGTATTAAATATATATAGTAGTATATGCATACATAGCACATTGTAAGAGTAGAAGATGTGTTTTTCGAGGACACTGGATCGCACGCACATGTGGAAACACCACACTGGTACTTTAATACTTTTCTGCCTTTTCTTGAACCTTTGAGGGAGTTGTCTTCATATATGCTTTAAAAGCGATTTGGAACATGCACAGTACTTCACAGAAACAATAATGAATACATCAGTGTAAATATCACATTCCTTCATATTTCTTTAAAAAAAAGAACTTTTTTTTTCTAAGTACAGTACAAAGATTTGTGCAGTAGATAATACATAAAGTCTGCCTCGTAAAGTGAATATTTGTTATATATACACTTTTGTCAGCATACGTGAACAGTTTGAAAAGGTTTTCTATACATAGAATAATAACTCGTACCCCATTGTCATCTTGAGCAAAAAAAAAGATCAGTTAACATGCCCTATCAAGGAAAGGTGCGCAAAAAAAAATACTATGTGCAATACCATTGTCAACCAATCAACTTCCTCTATAGATAAGATAATGAGAGAGATAAGCTGATTGGTTGCTAGGGCATAGATTCTTTTAAAGGCTTATTGGTTTTTTTTCTGATCCAGCTACTTGTAATTGGGTGCCCTGTAAGAAATGTAAAACTAAATGTTGGTGTGCAAAACTCCAAGTCAAACAGACTGTATCTGTTATCATCGATCATATGTGTTTATTTCCAAAGATTTTTAAGGAGACCGGTCTTCTTAAATCCTTATTGTATTCAGTGAATTCATGATATTATTATGTGACAGCAATACATGCCTGGAATAATGGTCCCCATGTTGTGACAGAGACATTTAGTCTCAGTTATTAGTCTTAAGTAAAAAAAGATCAATGTTGTAACACCAGTCTGTTCTTCATCGTTTAAAGCAAACCTGTGCTTTGACCACGTAAGGCAAAACAATAGGTTCAAATTATTGCCCCTCTCCCAAGAACTACATACTCACTCTTACTTTGTTCCCCCACCTATCCTTTCAGGTACCTGGAACAATGGATACATTCGAGTTTGGAGGAGCACATTACTTGCTCACCTCCTTTACATGTGACCGTGCTGATGGTTGGTGATTGACCCAGTGCTGTCACATGCTGTGAGATTTTTCAACCCTGTGTAAGTTTAGACCAGAGCAACTGTGAACTTACACAAGGCATCCTTTACTCCCTTTTGGCACCCTAATGGTGTGGCGGGGTAAGTTAGGTATGTCTTGGTGGGCAAGGGGGCATTAAAATTAATCTGATGCTTTGCCCTTTAAGTTTTCGTGCAGGTTTCAATTCGATTGGTGGCTGTGAAGCCGCAAGCATCACTTATTAAGACAAATGATAAAGGAGGCCTGTTGTTTCTAAGGAGAATAACTTAGCTTTTGTGTAAAAGCCTTCATGTCCAATAACATAAATGTTGTGACTATTCGTATTTACATTTTGGGAACAGGGACTGCTGAAGCTGCTTAATATATGTTTACCAGGGTAGCTTAGAATGTAGGATTAAGCCATTTTGTGTAGATTAGGAGACGTAGCCTTACTACTTTAAATAGTCACCGGCTGAAAGACTTCTTCCGGTCTTATTTTTGTTATATTTTGCCAAAGTTTCCAGCAGCTCCAACGACCCTGGGTAGGATTGAACATACCTCTTTGGCAAACACCTTATTGTAGATCTGCCTTTCTGTCATAGTATTCCCATAAGATGATGTTTACATGTGATTGCTATAGAGTTTACTGTAGAAAAAAAAAAAAAAGATATATAGCTATATATATATATATATATATACAAGTATATAATATATGATGCCCTTAGGGTGATTAGTAATGTCCTGTGTTGTGCTGATAGTTTTGAGAACAATATGGAGTATTGGTCACCTGACTTAATGCATACAGTTTACCTAAAGCCCACGATGCCTTGGGGTTCAAATTGTATCCAAATCAATGATCAATCTATTTTTTTATCAGTTTTTCTGTGGCAGGCAGGTTTCCTTTTTATTGTTTTGCCTGCCTACGGCTGTTTTATCGCCTGTTTGTAAAGGTCGTTAGTGCTTCCTTGCAGTGACCAGATTTCCTTTCCCACAGAAGACCCGATAGTAGATACTATTATGACCAAGTCTTTAAACTTGGTGTATATATTCAGTGGATTGAAGAATTGTATTTGTTTCCATGAGGCCTTTAGACCATTGTTTAGCAAGCTTATTGTCCAGCACTTATGCAATGCTTACCTACTTGCACAGACAGTTACATAGCAGGTCCATCTTTAGTATGTTCATCCGTAAGCCATGTTTGATCCTTTTTTGTTATTTAAATGGTACGCACTTAACACCTATGAATGTATTTCAAGGTAGATCGTGGCCTGTAAAATGTTAACAGTGGCAATCATTTTCTAGTGCAAACTCTTACTACAGAGTCCATACAGTGTCTGTTTTTTAAATGAATTTGGTCTTTGAGTTAACCACATACAGTATGTCAGTATAAAATAAACAGGTTATTACTGGTCTGGAAGGAGTAAAAGACTACAACATGAATAATATACTGAATGCATAATAAATATTTTGTCAACATGTTTACATATACAAAAGAAAAGAGTTAGGGATTTAGGAAATGCTCTGATTATACTATTTATAGAATATTTCTGTGAAGGTTCTCATTCATCTAGGTCATGGTATATCTGTAAAAAATAAATCAAGGGAACTAAACTTGCTGTATTTTTCTTTAAGGTGTTTCGCTGGTTATCTGACTAGCTTTCTCAGTTTGAGAAAGCTAGTCGAAAGACCAGCGAAGCGTCTTTAAAAAAAATACAGCAAGTCCAGTTGCCTTGATTTATTTTTTACAGATATGTATAGGATAGAGTAAAAGACTATTATTTTGAATATTTAGCCAGTGCCATTAAAAAAGAAGTAAAGGTTATACGGTTATACAATAACTACCTGTTGAATGCTGCTTCCCCATTGCTCTGATCCTCCCTGCACATTTTCTAATACATTTTTTTTTTAAACTTATTTTTTATGTTTTTTTAAATAGTCACATGACTGCAAAGCTCTAGTTTATTCTTCTATCTCTTCGGCTGGTGAACTCTCTCCCAGCCAATAATGCCTCTGAGCTATGAATGCCAGCAAAATGATGTCACTGCTCTACAGGATTCAGCTGTGTTCTTGGCACGCCACAGGACACCCAGACTAGCCAGAGCTTTGTGGTCATATGACAAATATCAGAACAATAGGGAAACAACATTTTACAGTTGGGTTATTCTATAGCCTTTCCTTCCACTTTAATCATACCATAACGTCTGTGAGAATATAGTGACTGCTCTTTATTGTGTAAAACTCCTGCACAAAGCGGCGACGTGCAGCACGAGTTGTTTCATGCAGGATGACTCCACCAATCTGAAAATAATGCACCAAGGACCTCAAGATTAAATTATTCAGTTATAAAACCTAGTTCAGCATAACACCCCGGTGGTGGTTGCGAACAGGATAAAGGTTTCTGTAAGTGTGCCCGTTTGCAATATACCACCTTTTTGTTTTGGCAAGGCATTTATTCACAGTTCTGTTTGGTGAGGCTGCTCAGTAGTGGGTCTCTACTTGACGTCCACTGTTGAGTCTGGACCCACGTGTTCATGTCCTGTTTTTAGGCACTAGCCCCATCTGCCTTATTGCCTTCAACTCTAAAGCCACAATGTCAAAATCACTCATTTAAATTATCTTGCCATTTCAGACAAACTGACTTCACTGGGAAATTTCTGGCAATGAGTAGGAAAACTTGAAGCGTCAGTCATTACACCTAAAAAAAAAAAAATTGGAGAGCTTCAACATGAGGCTTCTCAGGTAATTTACACTGAAAGGAGCCATAAACCCTCACCCTTGCATTTTAGTTTTGGGTAGAGCCCTTAACTGAAATGAGTCAGGCATGCGCTCTCTATATTATATATCAGTATTCTGGCTAATAATTACAGAAACATACATTTCTGTAGTTACAGTTCTGTGTGATCACATGTTTTATTCCTCGTTTCACCCGACAACTCATGGATACAGTGTGCTGACACATCAAAGTTATTATTATTTCCTGTAATAAAAGTTAAATGCACCTTGAACATACGTATGGGGAAATGGAAGTATTAAGAATTCTATAGGAAATAGATTGGATTATTCTTTTTTTAAACATTCTTTGAATGCAAGTTTTAGCCACTAAAATAAAATTATTTTCTTATGCCTAATGCTCTCCTATAGTATATTGTACTTGAGTACCTGCTGGTATACCTTAGGATCCTGCATGCAGAAGTCCTTTCCACTGGATTATAAGAAATAAAGCAATATGGCCGTTCTATATGGCCAAGTTGTCTGTCCATGTCACATCATAGAAGTGTGAATTGCATTAATAATTTGTTTCAGCAAGCCAATAATTCTCTAAAATGTGACAGGTCAGCAAAACTCACTAATCACTTATGTGAGCTGTTCATTTTTTTTTATTATTATTATTGTACTAGATTAAACTTTCTTTTCCCACTTACTGTCACCAATTCACTATTACCTGTTGTTTGCATTTCATTGTTATCTATTGTTTTTGATGTTTTCTTTCATTTCCTTGTGTTATTTTTATACAAGTGAAAACTCTAATCATTTGTACAGTTTTCTAATTTCATATTATGCTCGGCATGTACATAATTTGCCTTTATTTCTCATGATATTTTG